AATATAAAGTATTTTATTACTTCAAAAGTTTATTTTATGTTGTTTAAAATATATTTAAATTAAATATTACTATTTTGTAAACTTTCCTTTTTTATGAAACCATATTTATATACTTATATTTTCGTTTTTAAATAGTTTTGTAAACTTTATAAATGTTTCCTTTTTATTTTATATTCCTATTTGGAAATTTTTTAAAAGGATGTAGTAATACTTAATTGTATTTTTTAACTCATTAGGGGTATCATAGTAATCAATCAGCGTGAGGGTTAACGTGAGCGTGACACATAAGAAAGTGACTTCTCAAATAATATTATAAAGATTTATTTTAATATATAATTGTAGTAGGTTGTGTCGGTTAATTAGAAGGGTAGAATAGCATTTATACATAAAACTAGATGATTTTCCCGTGCTCATGCACGGACATAAATATTTATAAAATAAATATATTATAAGAGTTGATTGATATTTACTTTAACTTTTATATTAATTTATAGTTTTTATGTATAATTATATTAATAATATTATATTATTTTAGTTATATATAATTTTAAATATATTATATTTAGTTAGTTTATCATTTGGATATATATATATATATATATTGGATTCTATCTATTTCTCTGAATTCAACTATAATCTTTTTTATTCTAAATATCTTAAATTTTTGATTAATTGTTTTATTTACATTTATGTTGGTTGTTATCTTAGAAATATAAGTATATCTTAGTAATATTATGTATTTTAATATTTTTTGTGCTAAGAACGAAAAAATAAAAACTAAAGTGTCTAATTCTAAATTACATACATAAGTAATCATAAATTTTCAGAAGCTTACGAAAACATATCAATATTTACAATAATTAAATATTTTAGAAATTTTAAATAATTTATGCCTTAGATTGATTGGATGGTAAACTGAAATTTATTTTAAATAATTTTTAAAATAAAGAATTATAATTTTCTTAAGTATTTTGATTATGGTTATATTATATTCCACAAACATAAAAACAGAAAATTAAACATCAAAAGAGTTATTAAGAAAACATATAATTTTAACTATTAAAATATAATATATCTACCTCGTTAAATTATATAGTGTTATGATATTTTAAAAGAATTGTAGTTATATGATCAAAAGATGTTTACCATTAAATTTATTTTTAGTTTTGTTTTTAATATCTCTTAAAATATGCAGTAAATATGTGATTGTTTTTGAGAAATTATATTATATAAGTAAAATATAATTTATATATTTTGCTGTAACGGTAAGATATTATAATCAAATAAATATACTAATTATAATTTTTTTTGTCAATTAAACATATATCAGTTTATGCTACTTAATTATTTTATGTAATTATCTAATAAAATAGATAGATATATACAAAAACTAATTACTTTGAAAATATATATTTTATTGTTTAAATTATTTTTTAAAGAAAAAATATTTCTTTTTCTAATATCAAGATTATTTGTATGAAATTTTTTTTCTGAAAACACATTATATACAAATATTTTTTTTCATCTAAGAAGATATAGATAGAAAGTATAATTTATATTATTTAAATATATATTTAAGTTAAATATTACTATTTTGTAAGCTTTCCTTTTTTATGAAACCATATTATATATATACTTATTTTTCGTTTTTAAATAGTTTGTAAATTTTAGAAATATTTCCTTTTTGTTTTATATTGTTATTTGAAAGATTTTAAAAAGGAAATAATAATATTTAAATATATTTTTAATTCATTAGGGGTATCATAGTAATCAATCAGCGTGAGAGTTAACGTGAGCGCGACACCTAAGAAAGTGACTTCTCAAATAATATTATAGAGATATGCAATGTACTCTAGCTAAATAGGTAAAAATGGTGAGATTTTAAATTATAAATTTTTTGTTGGTTATACGGCCTAATTTCCCTTTAATATAATAGATTTGTTTAGTCATGTTTTTTTCTGTAGACATTGGATGATATATATAGACTGTATTTTTATATACATAGCGTTATAATATAATCCTTAGTTGAGATTAGGGACATGTGAGAATTGCTTGTAGATATATGAATTTTTAAAATATTACTTTCTGGTGCATTTAATATTGTTGATATAGAATTTAGAGACCTGACACATAAAGAGATTTTATGAGTACATGTTTGATGGAACACCTCTGGTTTACCTCCAACTGTGCCTTAACTTCAGCAGAAGCCTCCTCCACATTTGATGGGTCAGTGAGATTCTTGTTCATATGGAACCCATCCAAGGTCCTTTGTTTTGTGTACTCCCTAATGTTATAGTCAGGGTATTGACGCTCTACTCAAACATTCCTTGTATATATATTATATATATTTTTCAGGAAGTGGTGAAGATTCCGTTCTCCGCAAGAAACCCGTATTTGGCTCTTATGAGCTTTCTGTTGCAGTGACAGGAGTTGAAAACCTCTCTTGAATCACAACCTCCTTCCCAGCGTATTGGCGCCTGTCCGATCCCATTGTCTTTAGATTTCAGATTCTGGCTACACTCCTGGACTATCAGAATACTTTTTATTGATTGAGACCTAAGATAGAGGAACCAGACATAACATTGAATCATGGACATCCCCTTTACTATAATCATTGGGAAAGAGAAACTATTGTTATATACCTTCCAAGAAGTGACCACAACATGTCAACATCTGATGATGAGATTTCATGACAAAGCTCAGGTTCATCATGTTCTTCTCACCGAAATACACTATGAACCTACTATCGTTTATAACAACAGAACCAATTTTGTTAGTGTATTGGTGCCTAATTGTGTTACTGTTCAAAATATAATAATAATCATATTTGCCAAGTACCTTTTGTTATCCCCAACTCGTGAACGAAACGGCTCTGCCCATTAAGAATCAAAGTTAGCACCACGAAAATTCTGAAATTCTTCCTTCCAAACAGAAAAGGAGTCTCATGCAAATCTCATGCCACAATTATATAGGTGTCTGCTCTAGATGAGTTTGACCAAGAATTGGCAGAAGCTCACAGATGTGGCACCGTCTCTTGTTTGTTTTCTATTGATTAGCTTTTGTTGATTTTGACTCAGAGTAGTAAAATGGTCTTTTCCACTTAAAAAAACTGTAAAAATAAAGAGTCTGAAGCAACTAAGAAGGAAATTATGTCGAAGATAAAGAACTTACAGTTGGTCCAATATTGCAGTAACAAAGTATCATTCATACTCATCTCAACAACTCTGATATCCTCTGGAAGCTGTTTCCTTGCATTTTTCCACTAACTTTCATGGGAGCCAAACTATTTAGTACACTCTTCATATAAACCCGAAGGGATCTTCTTCTATATACCAGGTATGATTCTAAACATACCTGAGTGGTCTTGTGTCACAAGTTCGAATTTTGAGATAGCCTTTGCAACATCGGCTAACTCTCGTTGTGCGGGTAAAGCGTTGTGTGGAGAGTTATCATGCCATTCCTACAGACAGTTATGTCAGTACAAAAACAACATATCAAAAATTATTAAAGCATGTTTGAGATTTTGACAAAAAAAAAATGCATGTTTGAGGTTAAGACTGAAACTGTGATCCATGTAATTTGAGATCATAGGAGCTTAACATAGTCACATGCTCTGAGTTTTTTATGTAATATCCTAAAATGAATGACAAAAATATCGATGTCACAGATCTCTTCGTCTCTTAAACATAATTTAGTAGCTAAATCCTCAGAAAAAGATCAGAAACTTCAAGACCAATAAAATAGAAAATTCAACAAACACATAAGACAGCAAATCAAATACAGATAAATTACGAACAGAGAAAATAAATTGAAAGAGTTAATCATCTGCAGTCGTACCTACCCAAACACAGTAGAAAACACAGTAGATATTACAGAAGGTAATGTCGAAGACGATAATATTAGTGAATGAGCATAACTCACACCCAAAAGCTAGCTCAAGAGTGGAGGGTTACCCATACATTTATATAATTCCCAAGGATCACATATGTGTCCGATGTGGGACTCTTTAATAGATAAGAAAGGAGGCGGCACAATGATGATTTCGCAGAGGCTGGGACTCGGATATGGTTGAATAGCGTCTGGCTCTCAAATCAGCAAGCATGGTGAAAGAATCTCTTAAAATGGAATGTCTAAATGTGGTGTATTGATAGCTTTTTTTTGTACATCAGTACATTTGACCATTTCATGTGAAAGAAAGAGTATAGTTACATTAGAGTTATTGCTCATGTTGACTAGTCTTTAAGAGCATCAACCATATATTTTTGTTTCAATATATACTTATATTTATTTATTTTTAAATAATGAGACTACTAGACGATTGAACATGTGGAGAAAGTCACTCGTAAAGAGACCTGAGTAACTCAACAAGAATCGATTCTTCCATTTCTCTTCCTTTTCCCTTATTATTGTTATTTTCTTATGTATAGTTATTTCTTTTCTTCTATTGTATATATGTGTAGATAATGGAGTAAAAGAACTCATCTCCCCCTTCAATATATACAATTTTATTAAATTTAAAGGTGGCTTCATTCATATAGGAGGAACTTTTTCCAGAAACAGACATCATGGAAATGAAGAGACAACCACATTAATTCGTTCATATTTCGTACTGAAAATTATCTTTACATGTCTAAACACTGAATCAATCCGATGCTTCAAAATTATTTTTTAAACTTTCATTCATAAACTTATGAATAAAATACTTTAACTTATGCACATTTAATTAAATTGAAAGATGATATTTGTAAAAATTATTTAATTTTAAATATTTGAACTACACATAACACGAATTAGATTTTAAATTTTAGAATTATTTAAATAATAAAATGAGCCAGAATATGATTATTAATAAGTTATCAAAGTATATATTCTTTTATTGTAGATGTTAAGAATCTCAGACAAATGAAATACTTTTCTTTTCCACAAGACAAATAAAATACTAAAACACGTTTATGTAAGGATTACGTCCAAATGCAAATACCCTTCAAGAAAAAACGAACGTAAGGTTGGTTGGGGAAGATCACTGGCCAACATGAATCAGAAACTTTAGCAATGGTTTCACAGCAATATTTCTTGATCCCATGGAATTGAAAATGCAAAATTCCCTTTAGACGATCACGACATTCACTTGAGGTACCCTTAACCAGCTTATAGCACTCTTGAGGGTCTGTCGGTTGAGTACTCGAATATGGCCATGTCATTGCGAAAACAAGAACCATGAGCATAAAAGCAGTCCTCATCCTCTTAGAATCCTTTTTATTAATCAAATTAGAAATCAAAAGCATTTGGTGTATAATACTTACGTGTTGATGTCTTGATGATAGAGCAGCCATTTTATACTTGTTTTTAAACAATCTTTTAAAATGGAATATCTGGATATGGTGTATCCAAATGGGTAATTTGTTTTTCTACATCAGTACATTTGACCATTTCATGTAAGAGAAAGAATATAGTCACATTAGAGTTATTGCTCATGTTGACTAGTCTTTAAGAGCATTAACAAAATATATAAAGTTGTTGAATCTCTCAAAACTGTATTTTGTTTCAATATTTACTAATATTTAATTTTTCAAATAATTAGGCTACTAGACGATTGATAATGTGGAGAAAGTCACTCGTAAAGAGACTTGACTAACTTAACAAGAATCGATTCTTCCATTTCTCTTCTTTTCCCCTTATTTTTTTTTATTTTCTTTAGTATAGTTGATGTGCCACAGTCCATGGATCAGTATATGGAACCAATACCAGAAGCTAACTTGAAAAAGGAAGGACTTAGTGAGTGGATGCAACCCCGTGGATGTATCTATGAGGATGCCATCCCTATGGATGAAACTCGTGGATATATATCTGTGGATGCCATCCCTCCGGATGAAACTCGTGGACGTGTCTCTGTGGATGCAATTGAGGTTCTCTGTTCAGACAGTGCCGTGTACTGTTTCAACCGCGTACATCCAGAATGCAGATAAGGCAAGAACCACGTCGTGAGAACCAAACTGACCGTTCTAAAGGAGTTATCCCCCCCCCCCCCCCCCCCC